TCCGCCATTTCCGGTGATCAGTGAAGAGCGGTGTTGGGTGCTGTGTGGTTGCGAGTGGTGCCATTTTTAGGCTGGAATTGAGCCCTATTGAGGGTGAGTACCATCCTTAGCAGGAACTCATATGACGATGAAATGCTTGGATAAACGGCCAGCGACCAGTGCCTTGAAGTGCCAGTGCCAGTGCCGGCCAGCGCCCAGACTCCTTCTCTTCGGGGTCGCCCACTACGTCTTCAACCAGAAAGTGTCCCGTGCATCGCGCTCCACGATGTGGTTCATCGTCCACGACATCAATGGGGCTGCCGGCAGAGTCAACAGCGACGGCGGACGCGCTGAAAAAATCTGTCGGTGCTGACAGCATAGTGTGCCCGCGCAGTGAGGTAAGCCCAGTGGCGGAGTGGAGACGGAGTGATGGACGGAGATGATGGAGACGGACGTGATGGCCCGCCCCACAGGGAAAGGGGTCACAAGCGGCATGGGCGGGCCTGTTGACATCCTGTGGCAGCCCCTGGGCTACGTTGTCGGACTTTCTTGAGGTCAGGGAGGGGGAACTCGTAGGAGCCACACGCTCAACTTTTGTTGTGTAGCAAAGGTGGGAAAAACCACGCCATTTGAAGGGGCACCGGTTGTTTTGCGACGCCTTCGTAAGAGGGAACGGTCATCCTAGAAGAGCCAGCGGCGCTTCTCGTGTGTCATGTGTTTTTTACAGCCTGGATCTCAACATGTGATATGGCATTTGTTATATGAGGCGTGTGCGTGACGTATGTTTAATATGGAAAGTACAAATTGAATGTCTCTTGGCAACTAGGAACAGGAAGCTGTGATTTTGAAATGAATGCAGAGGCAGTTGTCTTTCCAATCAATACAGTACGTTTTTCTTATACACACAAGCGTATCGTGGTTGCTGTTGGTGTGGCTGAGCGTCGATGGCATGGGCGGATCCAGGAAGTTCAGAGGAAGGGCGAAGGTGGTTACATAAATGGCGTCTCTTACCTTTGTGTGGGTAAAGAAATCAGTGCGCTAGGTATCTCATGGGGATCTCACGAGGAATAGCATGACCCCGCGAGCCCATCCCTTGATCCGCCACTGCGGAACGAAGCATCAATGGGGTATATAGAGAGCATCAAATCAGCATCAATGGGGTATATAGAGAGCATCAATGGGGTATGTAGAGAGCATCAAAGGAGCATCAATGGGGTATATAGAGAGCATCAAAGGAGCATCAATGGGGTTTATAGCAAGCATCAAAGGAGCATCAATGGGGTATATAGATAGCATAAAAGGAGCATAGATCGGGTTTAGACGGATCATCCGAACTATGCTAGGGGGCATCAAAGGGGCATAGAGGAGAATCATGGGGAATACACTAGGCATTTCGTAAGAATAATGGAGGCATAACCAGATAATCATTTTGATTCCACTTAGCCATCCAACAGGCATATTAGGGTAATAATGTTGGGATATTGGAGGTATCTAAGGCCAAAAAGGTGCTACTTGAAGTATATTACGGGAATAATTGGGGTTTCGTTTTAGACCATTCTCCTAATATCACCCCCCCCCCCCGGAATCATTTTAGTTTTCAGTGCAGGCTTGGAGGCCCTCTGTGCAGGCTAGGAGGCCCTGTAAAAGTGGTCATCTCTGTGAGTATAAGAGACCTCCAAGTTATGAAAAGCTTTACCAATCTTCTAACAAAGAAGTCTTCTCAGCTAGTCTTCTAAGAAATAACTAAGTGGGTAGGTTAAAAAAAACTCATCGGATTTCGGCCACTTTATTTTCAGGAGGCCCCCTTTTCAGCTTTTTAACTTTTTAACTTTTTATTTTATTTTTGAAAAAAATCGGCCAAGGGGGGGGGGCCATGGCCCCCATGGCCCCCCCCCTTGTATCCGCGCCTGCCCCCCGGTGACGGATAAATGTCCCGCGAGTGTGACTTTGCCCCCCCCCCCCCCATTTTGCTAGCGGCTGCGACCGCCAGTGTGTCGGTGCGCAGGTCGCAGGTGCCACCGTGTCCCCGTCACTCACCTGATGAGATGCCGCCGTGGGTACTCGCTAGTCGCCACTCGGAGAGAAAAACGTATTCGCGAAACGCAAACACACTGACACGTCTTCGTCAAAACAAATGATGACAAATTTGCTGCAATTATAAGTCACTTTGAAATGCTCCACTTCTCTCACCCCGCTTCAACACCCCACAGTCCACACTCCACAGTATACAGCACACCCACACACTTCAAAACAAGCTTCAAAACTGTCACACGTTTTGACAGAAGCTCAGCCGCGCGTTGTCATCTGATAACGGGGCGACAACCAATCAGAGAGCGGCACTGAGCGTAACTACTCGCAGCTGATTGGCTGATCAGCCGACGAGCTCGCTCGACACCGCCCGGGGGCATGCATGGTCCGCGCGGTCTGGGTGAAACGAGGCGCTGAATCTCGCAGAAGGCGGGCAGAGAAGTGAGGGAAGGAGGGGTGGCCGGCGTCCCGAGTGACGTTTGTGAAATGCGCGTGTGGAGATTGTGGTGCATGCTAGTGAGAAGTGAGCGTCTGTGGCATGGGCGCCGCCACCGGGGGGGACGGGGGGGACGCGTCCCCCCCACTCTCAGAATGGAAGGGGGACGTCCCCCCCAAACTCATTACGGAGCGAGCGAAGCGAGCGTAGTCTTTCGTAGGTTCACGGAAATTTCTGAGCACGCCGTGGTCACGCTTTTGCTAGGCTTATATCTCAGCAACCACTTGACCGATTTACATGCGATAATTTTTGTAGGGTAGCACTAGATTCATTCCTTCTAACGAGCATCGGACTATTCCCGATGCATGTGAGTGGCCCCATATGCACGTGCCACGTGAAAAACGAAGAGGTGTCAGTTTTGTAACAATTTCAATATCTCGGCAACTACTGGGCTGATTGCGCTGAAAGTTGGCTTCGCATGTAGGTAGAGGTACATACCTATACCCACTAGGCAATGCATATCCATGTGCCACAGTTGGGGTGCTGCTGCACGTGCGCACATGCAGGGGTCGATTCCAGATCTCGAGAACGGCTGAACCGATTGTGCTGAAATCTGATACATGGTTAGGGACCGGTTAGTAGGGTGCCGTGCAAAAGTCAGTTGGGACCCATTTTGCACGTGCGCACGTGCAGGGTGCCGATTCCAGATCCCGAGAACGGCTAGGCCGATTGCGCTCAAATTTGGCACATCGTTAGGGACCGGTTAGAAGGGTGCAGTGCACAAGTTAGTTGGAGGTATCCCCTCGCAATTTCGCACGTGCAAGGCCCACCCCACCCTCTCGCTCGCTCCGTTGGTCGCCCCAAAAGGCGTTTTACTGGTTGTTATCCTACTCGAAAATTGATTTTGCCCTTCGGTCCAATGAGACCATTTCAGAGCCGAAAGTATGAAAGAATTAGTTGGAGACATTGGTCGGGGCAGCCACCCCAGTGAGCCACTTGGGATGAACCCGACCAATTGAACAGGCAGCCCAGCCCACTGGCACTCACTGCACCCGGCAAAGGACTATAGCTCCAGTGGAGCCATTCCCGCATGGGATAGAGTTGCCCGTCCAGCCCGGAGCAGGGGGTTGCGGCGTGGGGGAGAAGGATTTGACTGTCCTGAGGATGGAAGAGATGGAACAGCCGGTGCCGAATCTGAGAGGGTCCAGGAGGCCACTCAGTATACCTCATGGGGTGTGGGCCTACATGCATTGGTCTGACCCCTGCCACCTCGGCCAACAAAATCTCCAGCTCTTATCCGACCTGTCATCGCGGAACTGCCGATTTTTGATATCGTGATCAACGTGTGTCGTATAACACGACTGGCCGAACACGGGCCTAATATATTTCTTCTAACCAGCCAAGAACATGACTTTACACCAATCCGACCTCGAAGTCAAAATCCGAACATTTTCGAAGACTTCAACACCGACTCTGGCCAAAACTGGCCAAAACAACTCAACTCCGACTGATTCCGGCTCCGACCCCACACTTCTGCAGTCACGCTACACTAAATTTCCAGCTTCTAAGAAATAAGCTATACGGTTGACACTTGACAGGACCACAAAACTTTGAGGCGACTTGACTACTTGACTTGGTTTTCCTGACCTAAGGTTTTCTGGTATCAAGCTTGTTACACGGGCTGCAAAATTCGTATTTTGGAGCAGTTTTGCCTCATGTTTTTTTTTGCCAATTTTCGCGGCGCTTCGCGCCGATTCGTGCACAAACCATACAGAGAGATTTGTGACTATACAACGCTCCCTCCCCCACGCGGGTATGCAATATGCATTACCTATGCAATATCCATTTTCGATCATATTAGTGGCATTCATCAGCAATTATACCGTGATAGAACACGAGGCTTTGCCGTGTCAAACTGAATCGGACATCAGATGTGTATATAGGTAGGTACTCGGTGGGAATGCGGTCTATAGCCATTACTTTAAGGAAATACCTAATTCCTAAACTACTTTCCTCAAACCAGTTGTTTTGCCACATTTCTATGGGTTTTTAAACTTAAAATGGTCAGGAAATAATGAATATTTGCAAAAGGATTTTACATTTATTTTTACATCACTATTTTCCATCTTTCGTAGAGGCTACTTACCTATATTGCAGCGGAAGCTGATAACGCGTTGACCAAGCATAGTACGTAGCTCAAACCAGCTGAATGCTGATTGGCTAGCATTTTTCCGTAAGGGAATGGATTCCTCGGTAAGAGAATGACAAAGTGTAATCTATGGGAATGACTTCGGTCTTCAAACCTAAAATCGATAGGTACCGATATATTTGGCTAGGGTGATCGTTGGGCCATAAAATCTCCTGATTTGTTCTCGTCTCAACTCGAGCAACAAAACTGTTACTTCAGTTCAAAACCCTATGTTAAAAGTGGCATATTTGCTTTAAACGTTGAATGTATCCGACCGAAAAAGCCACGGTAAGAATGTCTACTTTTGGGTTTTCAGTCGGTCAGTCCGTCCCCCCCTGTCAAAAATCCGTGGCGGCGCCCCTGGTCTGTGGTGCTATTTCTTTTGGCGAATTTGTGAATTTTGATATCGGTTCAAGTTTGGACAAGCATGCATGGCTGTCCAACTAACAAGAGGCTCCCCGACCCGACCCCGTCCTACCATAGACGCACCAAGCAGCCAAAACTGCTGTCTGCCGCACGGAGACATCGCTGAATGGTGAGTAGAGCAGGGTATATTGAGTGAGTAGAGTACCTACAGCAATTCGATGCATTCATTCAGTGACTATTCTGTCAGTCATAGGCGGCGGAACGGGGAGAGCACCGGGGCACCGTGCCCCCCTTTGATTTTGGCATTTTAACATTAGTCCTGTGGGCGTTGCATGGAAAGAATGGGACCAAAAGTCGGTAGTGCCCCCCCCCCTTAATTGAAGGTGTTAGTCCGCCGCTAAGTGTACTGCTGTAAGTGATCGGACTTCAGAGCCCCATTGATCCCTGTTGCTTGCGATATGTATTATCTTGCCAACGCTAATAGTGATTATCAAAACATTAAAAAGTCGCGTTAGCTCGCCGGGCCACCATGCCACCAGTGGTTAGTCATCTGTGGAATATGCATGTATTAATGACCTCCACGTTTTAACCACTTCTAATTAATGACGTACAAATCAATCACTTAACCTTAACAACCAACGTGACTCGCCAGGTAAGCATATACAAATAAGCGGAGTAATGTCAAGCGTTCGTGCTACTTGCGACCTACCGAACAGTTCAGCATAAAATTAGAGTTCTAGCCGATGCTTGGTTGCTAAAGGTGCTATTTTATGCTGGTACTGCATTTACAAAGAACTTCAAATAGATGTCTGATTGATTAGCAATGAGACGCACGCGTAAAACGGAAGCTGGTAAATATTTATAGAACAGATGCCTACTAAATCAAAGTGTCAATGATAAGTTCAAAAAACCTTTCTTATGATGGGCCATCTACCTGCTAGGTATTTTCAAAACAATAAGGCTGAATCAATGATAGACGATTGGACTACGCATCGGAAGTTTCCGATATTTGTCTTGCAACGCTTCTAACATCACTCATACATTTTCACTTCGCTTATTAAACATATCCACTGGATGCATGCCTTGGTCATGCAGACTCAGTGCAACACTACAAAGTCCTGGCGCCAATAAATCACTCGGCGGTGATAGCCCGCACAGCGGCTAGTCGCCGTCTCTCTCTCCGTTCTGCCCAACTCCGTGGACAGAGCCGGGTCCGTCGGGCCCCTCCCTCATCAGCTCGGTGTGCTCACAGCGGACCTGTCGCCGGTCCATCACAGACTGTATCTCAGGCTTTAGGCAGGACCGCCTCCGGCGATTGCAGCGGTACTTTCGGGGTCACTGCGGTGACGGTGGGCCTCGTCGAACCGTTTCTGGACGTCGGCGCCTCCGCCCGCAGTCCGCCGTTCTCGCCAGGTGGCAGCAGCGGCGAGCCGTTGCTTGCAGATGGCGCTGGCGTCTCGCCGGCAGCTAGCCGTTTTCGGATAGTGAGCCGCAGGGCGCCCTCCGGCTGTTTCTTCAGGAAGTTCCACGCCTCGATACGTGGCATGTGTGTCACGTCCTCGTCGTTAATGGCTAGAATCTGGTCCCCGATGTGCAGCTTGCCGCTCTTGTCCGCCGCTCCCCCTGAGGAGCAGAAGTGGTAGGTATCAGGGTTTAGGCACACAGTCTCCGCTTTTATCCACCTGTTGGGAGGTGCTCCCAATTGATCCATTTGAAAATTGAAATAGATAATGCCCAGGGTTACTTTTACAGGAAAAGTCAAGAGGGGGAATAAAGTTCGGGGCAAGGGCGGATCCAGGGGCATCTGAAAGGGGGCCCCATGCCATTAGGTTTTTGTTAGGATGGCGCCTGCAAAACCTTACCTACCCCCAAATCCTACTCTCTCCCCGGATTCTGGCCACTTTACATTGTTAGGTTGCCAAAAAAATAAATTAGCTATAAAATATGTATACGTAGGTACCTACCTACCTTGGCGGTAAGGGGGGGGGGGGGAGGTCCCAACTTGACTGCGCCCTTGCAAATGTCAATCAGTAGTATCAACCTATTACCCTGGCCAAACATCAAGTAGCGCCTTTCTAAATAGAGAGAGGTTAACACGTGACTATTTTTGCTAGGCCAAGACCGATTGAAGGACCCTGGTTCGAAGGAAGACCCTTGCTTCGAGTTCGACTTCGGAGAGGTCATGACCCCCGGCCCCGTCCCCTCCGGTTTCTACGCCGACGCCTGTAGTGATATGTCATTGATTGCGAAGAGACGGAACAGACAAGACAAGAGACGGTCCCACCGACCATTCGATCGGTATCGGGTCAAATCTGGAGTTCCCGCTGCACTGAACGTAAAATGGTTGGATGGAACCTCAAATTAAAAATTATCTAAGCGCCAGCAACGTTGATTGATGGCTAGAGTCTGATCAACGATGATTATAGAATCCGAGTAGCGAATTGATTGAAAATGGGCTCAAAAATAAATTTGAAAGGGGGAAATTCCCCCTTCCCTCCCTAGCCTTTTACGCACAATTTGAAAGGGGGAGCGGAATTTTCGAAGGGGGAAATTCCCCTTTCCCTCTTTAAAAATTACCCTGATAATGCCTATGCAGCGTTCATCGTGATGTGATAAGTGGACGGTAGTATGACGTGTGATAAGTATGACGCTCCTCAAGTCCATTTCAGTAGCGTAGCTCATTTCTTACCGATTACCGAACCCTATTTCGATCAGCATCCGGCATCGAAAGGGACGTGTGACAGGGTAAGCTGTAGCGACTGCGAGAATATGCGACCCTTCTTGCTTTCGTCTAAGCAACTACCTAAATTGTTGACATACATCGAGTGATACCAAGTTTTTAAAAAGAGCATTTCGTGCTGGCATCAAGTACATACCATGAAGAACAAAAAAGATGCATAGGTATATTTTTTTTTTAATCCAGCTGATGACACTGAAGAGTCATCAGCTGGATTGTTACGGAGCGAGCGAAGCGAGCGTATAGTCTTTCCTTAGATTAACGGAAATTTCTGAGTATGAGCGGCCGGCCGGCCGGCCGACCGGCCGGCCGTGGTCACGCTTTTGCGAGGCTTATATCTCAGCAACCACTTGACCGATTTACACGCGGTAATTTTTGTAGGGTAGCTTCATTCCTTCTACCAAGTATTGGACTATTCCCGATGCATGTGGGTGACCCCTTATGCACGTGCCACGTGCAAAACGAAGAGGTGTCAGTTTTGTAATTGTTGCAATATCTCGGTAACTACTTGGCCGATTGCGCTGAAAGTTGGCATGTAGGTAGGCACCCACTAGGCACTGCATATACATGTGCCAGAGTTGGGGTGCTGCTGCACGTGCGCACGTGCAGGGGTCGTTTCCAGATCTCGGGAACGGCTGGACCGATTGCGCTCAAATTTGGTACACGGTTAGGGACCGGTTAGTAGGGTGCCGTGCACAAGTCAGTTGGGACCCATTTTGCACGTGCGCACGTGCAGGGTGCCGCTTCCAGATCTCGAGAACGGCTGGGCCGATTGTGCCCAAATTTGGCACATCGCTAGAGACCAGTTAGTAGGGTGCCGTGCACAAGTCAGTTGGAGGTACCCCCTCGCAATTTCGCACGTGCAAGGCCCACCCTCTCGCTCGCTCCGTTAGTCGCCCCAAAAGGCGTTATACTGGTATGTATCGCATTAATGCTAACATACAACTATTATACGCAGATGAGAGAAAGAAGTAACAACCTAACTTCAGTTACGTTATATTGAAACGTATCTACCTATGGCACGCGCATTTTATTACGTTGGCAAAAATATTATTTTTTAGTTAACCGTTTCATTCAGCTGACACAACCATTTAGTCTAACCTCTATTCTTCTAGCCTTGTGAGATTTTAAGGTTTGTCGCACGTATCTTTTTATCAGCTGCACTGTTGCAATTTTTTCCAAAAGATAAGTCAGCACCTTGCTAAATTCAAAGCCAAGCCGCTATCACCCATGACTGGTTTGAGCCGAACAGGTTTCGGAGGATGACACCGTATGTCCCCGACTGGTGCGATCTGATAACACTGCATGTGATCGACGGCGCTGGCCTGCCTCGGCCGTTCCGCTTCATATTCTGCTTTATCAGTTAACGGGCATATCAGCAGAGGATCAGACACTGCAGGCCCGACTTGTCACGGTCTCGTCGTTGGCATGGCAACCGGCAGCGTTGCTCCAATGAGTTGCTGACGTGGTTGATGAACACCTATTGGAATTCCACTGCCGGCAGCTGCCGGGTGAAAGTCGCAGACTGGTTCTGGCCCATGGGTATGTTAATCCTCTTTAACGCCAGGAATTTAAGCTGATATTTTGAGCCAGCTAAGCTGCTGAGCATCGTAATAAACATCATCTTTGAGTGGATATATTGTTTTGTTTTGCAAGAAAAATGCTTGTAGCGAGGCAAACAAGAAACATGCTTATAACTTGCTTGTAAATGTAAATGATATCAAATAACTAGCCGGATTACTGAGTAGTTACATGCAGTTGGTTTGAAAGCATACGGGCCTTATAGGCAGCGCAATGAATTAGCGATCACATGTTTTCCTTTTAATAAAACCTTTTCCCAACCGATAGGAAAGAGACGTCGATATCGACAATGCGTACCTGCGAATATTTTCTTGGCCATTAGGGGCCGGTCTCCGAGCGGGGAGTCCTTGCCGCCCTCGAGACTGAAGCCGACGCCGGCGCCCTCCTTCACCAGGGTGACCACCTTGGGAGGGCCCCGCGGTACGTCCTCGAACGCCAGGTCTGCGGAGGGACGGCCGGGTCAGAGAGTGCCTTCAGGGACAGAACATGACACCGTTTGGGACAGGGCAGAGGGTCATGGGAGCGTCCAAAGGGCGGGAGTTATCTCGGGGGAGGGGTCAAGGGATTGAACTAGTGTTTGGGGGTGGGTAGGGGTGAGAGGGGTTTCCTGCGAGACAGCACGGTGCTAACATCGCATACGCCAGACTTGTCGACAGCGATGATGACGGTCGATGTAAGAGAACGTCATCATGTTCATAACATCGCCGTCATCACGTGTACCACTGATACGGGAGCAGGGATGGCGTCAGCGCTGTCGGGGAGCGTCCAATAACAGCGAGCAGAGGAGTGGCCGTATGTACCAACAGCGGGGAGGTCACGCAGGTTAACTGGTCACGGTATCCACCTGACATCATCGGTACTCTCCCTCGCGATTGGTGAGTCACCCTCCGCTCTGCCGTCCTGTGAAGAAGGCTAACATCGGCCGAAGGTGTGAGGGGCGCTGATGGGCTCGCGCGCACTGGAACGTCGGACGGCTGTCTCGTGATGCAGGGATTTCGATCGCTCTGATTCTATGTCGGACACTGAGGACAGTAAGATTGGTGACGGTGTCAGATCAAACAGCGGTCGTCCTCGCCAGTGACACCCGGTCCGACATTCCGGTCCGACATTCGATCCGAGTATTGATGAGGGTTGTGATCAGTGCGACTGATCGCCGCGGCTTATTGGCTCTCAGCTCGGATGAGATGTGACGGACCAAGGTGGTTTCATACGTGGTCTCATCTCGTAACTTGGACTCGGCTGGACTGCCCCGTATTATGCCAGTATGGTTCCGCGCCGTGATGTACGGTGCTGTGCTGTGCTGTGCTGTGCTGTGCTGTGCTCTGCTCTGCTCCGCCGTGCTGTGCTTCTGTGCCATGTCATCTTGTACTGTCCAGTGCAGAGCTATTTTGTGATGCACTGTGCCGTGCTGTTCGGCTCCCACGTGATTCAGTGAGCGGTGGCCCGCTCCCCGTGCCCGGCCGACCACGGCGCGGCAGTCAGCCGTCTTCCTGTCTGCCGCGCAGCGTCGAATTGCTCCTCAGTGGGTGCGGTGAGGTTGGTGTGGTGCCGGGCCGCTGAATAGGCTGTGGTATGTCCACACTGAATGGGTGACGGCGCCCCGACCGGCCAGTGCCCGACGGCTGATATTTTTACGGCTTCCGGCCACAAACCGCAACTAACCCCGCTTTCACATGATAACGCTACGAGTTTCCTCGAAAATACACGGCCGGCTGGTCGTGGCGCAAAATAAGCCAATGCGTTGGGAGCTCAGACTGGAATCCTCACGGTCGGCTGTTTTATTTTTAAATTCTATTTTGGATACGTCCCGGTGCATAGTGAAATGCCGCACCTGTCGCACCTGCCCAAAATGGTTCTGTTTACATTGTAACAATGGCTAGTGCATACGGAGTGAAAAAAGACACCACAATTTCTACGAAAACTCGGATTTTAACGCAAACGACACCTTATCTTTCTTACGGTTTGTTGTGGAAGCCTATGCAGTTTTAAACACCGTGGGACACATTTTAAGACTCGTCAGATTATATATCAGATCGTGTTTCCCTGTCCCGTGAAGAGACATATGTTATGCGGTCAGCTGCTTACGTAAGAAGATTCACTTAGCGTAAAACGTTTAGGATAAGAGCATCAGCGACATGAAAGAGGCCAAGCAATGTGTGAAACTCCAAAAAAGGTCGTTTAAAAACAGACTTATCAGTGCAAAGTACCCATCATCCAACTCGTGCATAAGTTATATCAGAATACTACAGTGAATGTTCTGCACAACCGCTGTTTAGCATGCCTCTCCGACTCTCCATCGATGTTTTCTTGGAAATTCCACTGCAAATTTCCAACAGAATGCAGTGTGCCGTGTGAGGGAGTTGTCAATATTCGCCCCAAAAAAGCAACAGTCGATCAGGAATGTTCCGTTTGAGGTATCACAACCGGTCAAGTTTGCATAGTTGTCCGGCGGCCGGGTGCCGCGACGCGCCCGTTTTCCTTTTTGTCCTCGTGCCGACGGTGTTGGGCGTTATCTGATCCCCGGCAGTTGGGCGACAAATCGCACCGGACACGTCCCGTGGCTGGATCGGTGTCGTCCGCGGCACGGGCATACCGCGGGGCCGGGCCAGAGGTGCTGGTCGGCAATGGTACGCAGCAGGGGAGCTATCTGGGTCCCGTTTGCTCGGCGAGGCGCATTGAGGCAAGTGACGGACATGTTAATTACGAGACTTGTTAATAGTGAAATGGAATAAGGTTAGGGATTTTCGTACACAAGATTATATGCAGCAGCACATAAATCAAATAAAGAACCGGAAAATGAGGCCTCGAGATTATCTTACATGAATACTGATTTATAAATAATTCCTGCATAACTCGTATCCGAGAGTAGTCTCACCTGACGCCAGACTCTTGCTGTCCATGGGGCTCTCGAGGATCTTCGGGGGCCGGCTGGAGAAGGTGTTGATCACGGAAGGACGGTGGACGGCTGACCCATTCTCGTCGGTGGCGGCGTCCAGCGGGGTGACCGACCTGGACCTGGACAGGACCAGCACCACCTCGGCACGCGGCGCCTGCGAGCGGGGAACACAGGGTCACGGGGTGGCGGGTGAACAGGTCACATTGGGTCATATGCAGGGGAGATCGACGGCGCGGAAAGTTCCATGAAAGGGAGGCTTTTTATCAATGCGAGGGAATAAGCATCAGCTGATTTTTGTGTAACTTTCTCATTTTTTAAGTATTTTTGGCCTCTTGTTTAATGCAATCACCGTGCTGTCACCTCAGCTCAGCTTCCGGCTTCTTTCGTGGTTAGAATGACGTAAGCTACAAGAATGGGACCAGTTTTGGCATGGAATGATGCAAGACTTGGTGCAACCATGTGCAAGTTATAAAATAAAGGGGAAATAAAACACAATAATGGTGTAAATAAGCACGTTTCCAGCTAAACCGTGCATCTCTTGCAAAAAAGAAACGTGTGAACTCAGCATACCACGGACACCAAAAGTCGCCTGCTGGAGGAATTTCAGAAGCCGATTAGCAGCTCAGATGATGCCATGGCAAAGAAACACCTCAGGATCTGACAGATTACACCTCGCGTCAGCCGCTTATCGTCACTTAAGTCCCCACCAATTTCTTAGCGCAAGACTGAAACCTAAATGCACAATGCTTGATACTCACGTCGCTATAGTTATTGTTCCCCTGTCAAACTATCCAGATATGACCTGTGTCACCTGTGTCACCTTTATTATGTCTTTTCAGTGGGATTCAGGTGAGTGCCACTGAAACCTCGTCACCCGAAATGATCCAGGCTCTTATTCAGCTAGTGGGACAATCGTTCATCGATCGTGGAAGGCGCATGGGTTTTGATTGCCTCCGCTTATATGATGCCGTGCTGGGCAGCTACTGCTCCCGCTATTGCGGCGCCTCCGCTCTCGATACCTCCCGTTCACGGGTCACGACAGGACGTTATCACGGCTATACCAGCCCAACGCCGTGCCGCAAGATGGCCAGGGAGAACCTGCAGTGGCTGAGGAGGATCGATAATGACTGATGTCCTCCCAGACCACAGAAGACCATATCGCCAGTTCGTGAAGTCAATGGAATTTTGAATCTGGAAAGCATGTTAATTCATTTGAATGAATTCCAAGCTGTCCCCAAAATATAAGTTCTTAGCACCTTAAATATTTAATTCTGCCTTACTGAAGTATAAAAGAACATTTTGGTTGAGAACAGTGCTTTTCTACTTTGAATGGAGCGCCTGATTCACCATCACCTCAGTTGAGTCACACTGACTGAATTATGGTCGGGTGCGCCGTGAAGATTACTTTGACACACTTACGGACTACCTGGAGACCTACAGACGTGCCGGACATATCACCAGCCAATTAACCTATGAGTCATGCCACCAGCCTGTGTTCGCCCATCTCCACACCCTCATCCGTTCCTGGTCGTGGGTCAACAGTAGTACATGCTGGAGCGCTGGAGCCATACGACGAGCGAGACTGCTCCCTCCTTATGTTTTAGGCCGGGCCGCCGGGCCTTGGCTCCTTTTAACAAGGAGCTGTTGAAATCCGTATATTATAGAGCGGCTCTCTCGCGGAGCCATTCGCGAGAGAGCCATTCGCGACAGACGCTCCAGGAAACTGGATCATGCACGACGCATTAGCAGTTAGCACACGGGGAAGGTGTCATTAGCTTGGAAATTATGTGGCTCTAAATTGCTAATGTAGCGCATGTATTACTGAGCAGCATAGGTATAATGTGAATATATGTAGGTGCTCATGGCTTCTGATAATGGCATCATAACGCGACAGGGGATATCAAAATATGGCTTCTTGATCCAGATGTGTACATAGTAAGACAGAACAAGCAAAACATTCGGACCGAAAACGTTACAGAGCTGCCGTCACCGGACGGACATAATATCGATTTTTACATGCAGAATGTATCCAAACATTCCTCTGACATGTTTATAGGAAGACGAACAGATGGGTCGTCTCCCAGAAAACATTCTCAGAATCATCTGCAGTATTTCAGTTTAGACAGTTCTGAAGTACTACATGATTTTCTTTTACCTTAGAGACGACCGGCGGTCATTCGTTTGTGATCTCTGTGATGTTGGCCGTTGGTTTGATATTTTGTCCGTCCATATTCGACATGGCCGAAACAGTGTCAAATAATGCCAAACATACAGCTTTGGGTGTCGACAAGCGCTGTCCACCGTCCACTGTCTAGTGCCCACCCAGGAAGTGACCGTCTGATAACGTGGCCAGCTCGTTATTTCTCAGCGACTACTGTAACGGCACAGTCATCAAATGATAGCAGCGCTATTACGCCCAACGTTGCCATCAACTACCCTCTCGGGACCTAAGGAAACGAAGACACTGAGAGCACACGACCACGCCGCGGCCATTTCGGGACGGTGGCTCTCCAGAACACTGCTAACGAGCCAAAGTAACGAGTCGTCATTCTCGTGACGCCAGCGGTCGTCGAGCCCTCCGAGGTCATCACGCCGGGCGAGGTCGTCACGCCGCTCCGTGAGTGGGAGATATGATCTTAGGGGCGCTGCCACGGAGGCCAGTGTCGTGTCACTGGCGTGACGCGGCGTCAGGAGCCCCGCACAGGTCGGTGGCCCGTGTGGCGGTACGGTATGATACGGACTGATTGCTCTGGGACTGGCGGGAGTGGTGTGATGGGTGTGGTGGCGTCAGGGTGTTGCCTCGGGAGGAAGACGTGAGCTTTAAACCAACCATGTCACTGCAATGTTTGATGACTGAGTACTTGACTATGTGTGTGTATGCCAGTTCCTTGTTTGAGAACGGAAGGCGAAGTTGAAACAAAGGAGCGGTAGTCCTGACAGGCACTGGCGGCCAGCGCCGACTGTCTGGACACACATAATGACACAGAGCCTGACTCACAGCGACAATCCCAACCTGACACACCCAAACAAACGGTGGCATGGCTCTCGACTGGGTGTCAGTGACCTTGCCCCCTGACCGCACTACCCTGCATACCAGACAAAGACGATCAGTCACCTCAAGCCCTCATGAACAGTTCCCCCAAGGCCTCTGGTTTCCCCGTCCGGCTCCGCCCAGTGCCCTTCTTTAGTTCAATACTCCATCCCCAACACAAGATTTCCGTGATTGCCCGGTCACGGCTCCTCCCCATCACGAAACTTCCCCGGCCACGGTCCCTCCCCCTCGGGACTGCCCGGTCACGAGGCCTACCATCACGCGCCTCCGCCCGGTCACGGTTCCTCCCGGCCGGCGCGTGGCCGGGAGGAGCGTCTGCTGACGTAACCCGGGTCGGCTGTCGGCGGTGCGTCCAGTCATGTCACCCGGTGATGGGTTGCAGGTCATCCTCTACCCAGGGTGGACCCTGGACTGTTATGGTTCGCCGTCCGGACGCTCCGGGGAACGGACGCAGGCCGGCGGTGATTCAGAGGTGATGATAGTTCGCGGACGGCCGCAGGAAGGGGAGATACGGCGGAAGACGAGCCGGGGAGATAGGCTTGCAGCGCGAGCAGAGGCATGATGAGAGGGCGTATCATGCGTGGTCATGTGACCCATGGCTGAGGGTGCGATGGCTTGTTGCTCAGATGACCTTCGCGCCTTGCGCGTTCCATCGGTTGGGATTTAAGTGTAGTTGTAATTGCATGCTTTAAATGACGTCCTTTTTCCGGACCTTCAAATTTAAGCCAAAGTCTTTTCGAACATGCAAATTTAAACAGAAAGTGTAATATTGGCTAATTCCCAGAATTAGGCTGATGATAGGCTGGTTAGCTTATGCGGGTCGAAGGCTGAAGGGTATTGGGAAAATGCACATGGAAATCGATGACTATGCCGTTTCATCAACCAAACGGGTTTTTCAAGTACAAAACACATACTTCTCTGTCGGTAAAAGAATGACCGATAAGAACTAAGGACGTGGGAAACATTTAAGCCATTAGCATGCAGTGCATGTTTATCATTTTCTGGCATGTCGGCATAAGTGACAATGCAGTGATCTTTCCCAAGTTATCATGTCCAAGCGAAGGTTAAGCTGTGTCACTTGCGGCCTTAACGTGAATATCATACTTTGTCCTTCAGAAGAATCTGATCTTGTTGCTTCATGTAACAAATGCTGTTGTAAAAGTACCAAATGGGCAATTTATCTTCGTTATCTGCATCGATACAAGTTTTCTCTTATTACGAATACGGTCATGAGCATTACTTGCTTTTAAAGTGTAACCGGTAATGTCAGTTGATCCATGTTCTCCGGACCACCGTTGCGGAAGTTTTTTGACTGTAAGTAACCTGACATGTAGGTATCAAACTTCAAAGTCGCAATGAACAGGACAAAGCCGACAGTCTGTCGTTATTCTTGTGGTCCGCACACCGAAGGAATAACTGACTGAATATTGCATGTATTTGGTTATAGATTACTGTACCGTGTACGCATTGCCATTGTTGATTGCTATATAGTACCGCCTAACATATACCGGTACCGCCTGCCTATATAGTACCGTGGTATCTAACCCACAAGTGTCACATATCCCATAATCTGTGACGGTGATTCACAAGCTTTAACGGTGCGCTGGCAGCGCTGAGAGATGTTCCATGCGAAATGCGTTTTTTACTGTACTCTTCACCTCAACCATCAGTGTATGAATTTCCGTCTATGACAAATAGCGCCAGCTGGCCACGATACCTACTTTTCATTTATACCCCCCCCCCCCCAAAGTACGGCGTACCTCGATATACCAGACGGGCGCGCTCCACGTGGGGCTGAGCAGCTGTCTCCGGCAGAAGAGGCACTCCATGACGGTGGTGGCAGAGCTGCGGCAGCTCGCTGGTCACGGTGGAGCAGCTCGGACACAGCAGCTCACTCTGCGCCACTGACCACACTGCCAGTTCGGACCGCGGCGACAGGGCTCCGACGCCGACCGAGACCGCAGGACCGCGTGGGAGCACGGATGTCCGCCCGGGCGGCGCGAGATAGCACGAGCGGATTGACGGGACGATTGCACCGGCTATGCTGACAGTGAGCCGTCGGTCACCGATCAACAGTTTTTGTCCTCTGTCAGACCAAGACTGACTATTGGGGAAGTAAAAACTCGGCCAACGTGCCACCCACCAGCCACTGTTCCTTCCCAGCGCTGATTGTCCGCTTTCCGCCACCCACACAAACTTCGACACGCCGCTCGCTTTCCCAGTCCTGACACAGCCTATTCAGGGGTTTCTCGTTGATATCTGCACTGCTTAGTGCTCACCCATATCCACCACTGACTTGGAGCACGCGCCGCGGCTGTGGGGCGGCGCCGGGGGACGGACGGAGCGGAGCGCTCGCCGCGTGCACTGCAACTGGAGTCTGAGGGCGGGCCGGACCGTCTGGCCGGCCGGCGCAGCACCGGTATGTGGGGAGACGGTCCAAGGCCGGGACGGCGGGACTGGCCGGCCGACAGACCGACCCGCCCGGAACGGTCGGGGTGGGAGGAGCAGGGAGGGGCGTGGATGGGTGAGACAGGGAGGGTGGGACATGTGGGAGTGACTAGTGAGGAGCAAGGAGGGCGGGACAGGGAGGAGCTGAACAGGGGGAGGGTATAGGAGGAACAAGGAGGGGCGGAATCGGAGACCATGGGCGGATCGTGGCAATGGCAACTTGCAGAGTGGCGAAAGATCTAATCAGAGACCATTGGAATCCAATGACCAGCGAATACAGCGTGCAAAACCATGCGTACTTCCCGTCATGGCCGCACAGGGGCGTAGGCAGGGGGGGGGCCACTGGGCCATGGCCCCCCCCCTTGGGCGCCGAAGGCGCCCTTTGCGATTGGAGGGCGCCGAAGGCGCCCTCCAATCGCAAATGCAATTGTGATATAATCGAATCGAAAAACAATCGCGACTGGAGGGCGCCCTCCAATCGCGAATGTGTTTACAGGGAAAATACGGATGGAGGGCGCCCTCGGAGGACGCCCATTCCAAATACGCCCTCCAAATACGGTTGGAGGGCTCCCTCGGGCGCCCTCCAACCACATTTGTAGGCTGTAGCTCTCTAAGCGTATCGGTGGTCGCCTATGTAAGCCGCTGTCCTGTAAATAAGCGCCCTCTCACCCGAAGGCGCCCTCCTGTAGGTCGCCACCCTGCTACACATTGCCGCCCTTCTGCTGATCGGCGTCCTCATAATTATTGGCGCTCTCCTACCTATTGAGCCCTCATGTGAAATTTTGAAGGCCGCCTTTCTCCCTTTTGGCACCCTCTTGTTCAGTGCCGCCCTCCTACCTATTGGTTCCCTAGTCCTTCCTGTTGAATGTTAATCGGGGCCCTTCTCCTATTGGCGCCCTCGTGTAGATCGCCGCCCTCCTAACCACTGGCACCCTCCTGTTGATCACCGCCCTCCTATCCACTGGCACCTTCCTGTTGACCAGCGCCCTCCGCACAGACGCCCTCCTGTTCGTGTCATCCTCTTGAGCAAAGGCGCCCTCCTCACCATTGCCACCCCCATTTTAATCGTCACCCTTCCGCTCATTGGCGACTTCCAGTTGATGACCGCCCTCCCACCTATTGGCGACCTCTTGTTGATCGCCACCCTCCTATTGGTGCTCTCCTGTTCCTCGCCACCCTCTTACCTGGTGGCGCCCTCCTGTTGATTGTTGATCGGCGCCCTCCTACCTATTGGTGCCTTCCTGTTGATCGCTGCCCTTCTATCCATTGGCGCCCTCCTGCTGCTCGCCAACTTCCTACCTATCGGTGCCCTACTGTCGAAACTCGGGATGTTGATCGGGGCTCTTCTACCTATTAGTGCCCTCCTGTGGATCGCAGCCCTTCTACCTATTGGCAACATCCGTTGATCGCTGCCCTCCTATCATTTATTTACTCCTTTGGCATGTTTTTCAACTTAGTCGTTCTATTGCACATAGTTGATGTCTTGCCTGTGAAAACTGCCACAAATGAACGTGCATTCAGCACAATGAATGAAGTATCTATACCTACCAAAACTATCTACGCTCTACGATGCATAAAACACGTCTTTGGTCTTAACGGATTGATCCTACTTTACGTGCATCATGGCATCTATATGGATTACGATTAAGTATTGTCAACAGGTTCGGGCGCAACAGCAGGCATCTGAAGTTTCGGTGATTGAAACTGGTTATGTGGGTACACTGTATGCATCTGTGAGAAGGCTATGAAGGCTGGTCTGAGGTAATTTGGATGATGTTTACGCATCTCGCGCTCCGGTATCAATCCGATACGGTGATCTGGTGCGTAGATATGCCACCGCCAATAAACTTTTATACATCGACACCCATGAGCCAAGCTTTCAGTACAGTTTGTGTGGCAGCGGCCCGACCAAACCTTAGGTATTTTTTACACCTTCAAATTTGGTAAAAGAGCGAGAGGAGCTTTGAACAGTGATCGTATAAAAGGCGTGCCTAAAAAGCGGAGGAAAAGGTTGTTTTCAAAAATTTCGCGCGCCTTCGGCGCAGCATTTCAAGAACACTTGACCTTTTGTGACCTGGAGTATAATGAATACACACGATGCAAAATCAATGCAGCACGACCTATACGAGGTTACGCAATAAAAAAAAACTGGTGGCATGGTAAAAAACGCCTCCCAACCCCCCAACCCCCACTGAGCGATTTTTTATCTCGCGACCGTATGGCGCCCTCCTTGGGTGAGGTGGCGCCCTCCAAACCCTTGGCCCCCCCCTTCGCGATTTTCTAAATACGCCGCTGTGGCCGCATCTGTTTTGCGCGATCTGTGGCATTTTTGAGCTTAGTTATGATCACGCTATTAGATCAGACCACCTTCAGAAAATTGAAT